CGCCCACACCAGGGCTAGCAGCATGGCTCTGTGGGTAAAGGTACCTGCTGCACTGGCCTAAGGCCCTGAGTTCAACTTCCATGTTTCATGATAGAAGGAGAGAACAGATACCTGGAAGATGCCCTCTGACCTTCATGGGAATGTGGTGGAACAAATATATGCCCGGTACGTACACACGTGTGTGCACACGCGCACACACACATACCATAAAAGGAAGGGGGGTCTTGATAGCTTACAAACAGTGCACTAGAGAGGCTGCTCCACCATCCGCATCTACTACAGACCTAATCACACTGAAAGCGAATGTGCCGAGGTGCGTGAGAGGCCAAACTAGTTAACAAAGAACAAAGTTTCAAAGAAGATGATGATGTAGCCTTCTCGGTGGTTCTTCAGTAGTGAGAACTCAGCCTCCACTGAGACAGGTGCTGCCCAGACTAAAACTAAAAACCAGTTTGTCCGAGCAGTCTCCCACAGAGCTTACTGAGTAAAGAACTAATCGATATTGACTTGGTTTCATTTCAGAAGAAGAGACAGCTGCAACAAATTCAATTACAAATGTTCCTGGCACTGGGTGGGAAGGGGTCTCTGGCACAAAATGCCACCGTGCCTTACCAACAACTGGCTACTTAAAAGCTAGCAAAATGAGGGTGTGCCAAGGCTTCCACGCCAACCAGCAAACTGTAAATGCTCTGGGTAGCAACCGCCATGGAGATGATTTATCAGTCATGCCCACGATGTCCTTTTTGGCCATCTTGGTGTTAGAAGGGAGAGCAATCTCCAGAAGCCCCCTTCAGGCCTCAAGTGGCAGAATTGAAAAGAAGTCGGAACAGTAAACACAAGACACAGGACAATACAAGCTTCCCGCAGGACCTCATGCAGGTAGGGACGGGGAGAGACAGGCCGGCCCAGGTACTCCAAGGATTGCTGCCTCTCTCCTGTACGCAGCAGCTTACACAGCTGTAGGAGATGAAGACATCCTAACTACGGAGAGAAGGAAGAAGGTGGACAAAGGCTCACATCCATGTGCCCCACCGCCACTGCCGCAAAGATTCGGTCATGGAAAAACAATACACAAATCACTTAACTTGAAAATGCAGCCTTTCAAATCAGCACAGCTTCTCTCTGTTGCTATGGAAACGGGGCCTCTTTATTCCTTACCTATTCCTTACCTCCAGTTAATTTTATTTGCCCTATAAAGGGAGGAGGAAGTGAACTCAGAATTATTGATCCAAGAGGTATTTATAATGCTTTATCTAAGGTTTCAAGCTAATCTGGAGAGAAGTCATCTTAATAGGGGTTTCATGACAGTCCAGACTGCCGTGGGCTCCCAGGAGTTTGTGGCCTTGTCTCAGAAACTGGACATTTTGTTCTATGTCCAGATTTTAATCTTAAGGGAAACAACACATTTACTGTTATTGATTCCACTTCTTTTAATTCTCTGGGAGAAAAGCATTTTCTAATTAGTACCTAAAATGCCCAAATTGTGAATTCTGTATGACACCCAATCCTAGAACAATTGCAGACTACAAGAATTCCTGACTGCCTTTTTCTGCATGGTGTTGCATGGCTCAGTCAGATAGCCACTGTGTGTGTGTGTGTGTGTGCGTGTGTGTGTGCGCACGTGTGTGTGTATGCGCATGTGTGTGTGTGCACATAGAAGGGAAACACACTGTGAAAGTCTCAAAGAAGATGATAAAAAGAGGGAAACACTGTCCTTGAGTTAAAGACTCCACAAGACCAAATGACCAATTACGGCGAGATAGAACGTTGCAGACCACAGCCAAATCATCTTGGCCTATTCAGTGTCCCTTTGAAAACCAGCCATTGTCATCCCCGGTGTCTGACCTAACTTCTCTGAGACTATCAAAGATTCACAAGGCAAACTTAACCAGCCACTAGCTCCCGTAAGTCCAAAGGCTAAGAAACTCATCAAATATTACCTAGAGCTATGTCTGAGCCGCCTGCTTTGTAGTCACCTGCGTACCTGTGGTCCCCACGGTGGATAAACTTTGACTGGGGATGTTCTTTGCTCTGTAATTATTAAAGTCTCACATAACCACTTCCACAGGGGAACATGGTATCTGGGGAAGCCTGAGTCTGTGTTCCCAACGTGTGACCACTCAGGTTTGGCTCCAAAATCACCTGTTACTCCCTGTGAGGTGAGTGCTGCATTTTTGCATTGACAGGTTAGGCCATTTTTACAAATTAGTAGGAACTAATGAGGCAATCTCCCTGGGGAGACTGACATTGAACACTGGGCTACTCTGTCAAGAGCTAAAAGAAGGAAATAAAGACAAAAGAAGTCTCCACAAACCCTGGAGGTAAGGTCGTTATCTGTCTGTCTGCAAAATCAACAATCAACCAAGGAAGGTGCAAAGACAGAGGGAAGAACTAGTCCTGGCCAGCTTCAAAAGCTTCAAGGCCTAGCCCAGCTCCCTCTGGGTAAACCCTCCTAAAGCAAAACTGCAAAAGCAACTCCATCTTGGGCCTTTGACATTTGTCACCATAGCAACTTAGCTATGCTTAGCTTAACTTAGCTCTCAAATCCTCCTGGTGCGAATCAGCCAAACTACTGTTAAAAACACAGGTTCCAAAGACAGGTGTTCATTTTGCTGTTTTGTAGGTTTGTTTGAAATGGGGGGAGGAGGTCTCATCTGTGAAATTAGTCCAGGGTGCCCTCAAACTACACAGCTGCAGACGACCTTGAATCTGCAATTCCCTGCTTCCTTCTCCCTGCTGAGGACTGGGGATACAGCCCTGCACCACTATAATTGGTTTGTGCAGGTCTGGGCCTTGAACCTAGGGGCGCTCTCTAAACTGAGTCACATCCCCAGCTCTCAGACACAGATCTGCACAGTCCTAGAGTTAAACACACATGCTATCCGGTCCCCTGACTTGTGGTCCATGGTTTGTCTGAGTTAGGGGCTGAGGAGACAGCTCAGTGGGTAAGTGCTTATCTTTGTCAACATGAGAGCCTGAGTTCAGAAGCCCGGCACCCATAGAAAACCCTGGGCATGGCAGCAAGTGTCTGCAATCCCAGGCCTGGGAGGAGGGAGTTCCACCGTCAGCCAACCTCGGTGAGTTCCAGGTTCAGTGAGAGATCATGTGTCAAAAAGTCAGTTGGAGAGAGACAGAGCCGGGCATACGAGGTTACAGGAAATGCAGAGACAGTAATCTAATTTTACAAAACGATATGCGGTCTGTGTATCTGGTCTTGAGGCTGGGCGAAATGTCAGCGAATTAAGATGTATCAATTGTACCCTTGCTTGAATCATTAGGGAGGGACCATCTGGCCAACCATCAGGAAGAAGCGAGAAGGGTACGTTCCTAAGGAGCTAGGTTTTCTCCTCCAAAGGCGGTGCTTCTAAGGTAGCCTGGGGTCTATAAATACAATATGGCTTCTGTTTGAAAAGATCTTTGTGACTGGAAAAGTAATTAAAGCAAGCATCTTTTTAAGATACACACATCCTTCAGTCCACATAACACTCCGACATGTTATGATGCGGCTGGGAGGGCAGAAGCCTGGGCTCACCGACTGCTACTCTAGGCCAAAAGCAGCGGTGCAAGTCAGGTCGTGGTCAGAGGAGCAAGAGAAAGGGAGGGCAGTGCATGTGGGTGTCAGGTCACATCTGTACAGCTGTGCGGTCAAGGGGCAGCACTCCTGAGCGCAGAGAGCACAGCTGGGAACTGCTTTCCTAGCTAAAATAGTGGCGGTTGTTGACACTACAAATTCCTAAGTCCTAGATAGAATAAGACACCTTGCCATTCTTCTCTAGAGAGCTGCAGGTGAGACCCACACTGGTGGAGTTGCTGAGATGCCAGGATTACCAAGCCCTGAAAGGCTCCTCAAGTTCATGACCACCGCACTGCAGGCCACCACGGAAGCATGAGAGCCTGGCTCGGGCCAAGTGTGTAAACAGGGAGCAGCTGGGTACATGTTGGGCCCCCACAGACAGCAGTGGGGAAGCTCTTGCACAAGAAATAGCAGAGCCAGGCACTTTCCCTTCCTCTCCCCTCCTCAGTCCCGATGTTTATGGCCCACCATTCTCAAGGGCAGAGGCCAAGCCGCACCTCTGCGGGCTCATACCTTCTACACGCAACACACAACACTTCCGTGTGGTCAACCTCACTGTCTGCCCTACCAGAGAGAAATATCGCAATCCAGACATTCACCCTTGTTCAGATCTCAGCAGAACTGAAAGCTAATCTTTTAAAAACACTCCCCTCCCCATCGAGGGCCTCTCCAAATCAAAGCTCTCAGTTTGCTGACCTTGCAAAGCTGGCCTCCTCCTGCTTGGCTGGCGGCAGGACTTCCTGGCTCACCCTATGTGGCTCTTCTCGGCCCGACTGTTCTAGGCTCTTTTCTTACATTTTGCAAGAGGTCTTTCTTTCCCTAGTTTTCCCACGCTTCTCACTTTCACAGGAAAACACCAATCAGAAAGCAGTGAAATTATGTTCCGTATAATCTGGGGGTGTGCAGTGTGCAACCCTGCTTGACAGTTTGCGCTGAAATGTTTTATGATTTCACGGAGAAGAGGGCTGATTTCTAGGTATCTAACCCACGGTCGCATTTCAACTTCATTTGACTCTATTGCCACAGACATACCAAGTTCTACTGAATATTTTAGGAACGGCAATATCATCACTGTAAGCTGGATCCAGATCGCCTGCCAGTGCAATTTTGTCCTTACTAATTTAGTGCGGCTCAAGAGCCAAAGCGCGCCCGGCGGTGGTGGCGCACGCCTTTAATCCCAGCACTCGGGAGGCAGAGGCAGGCGGATCTCTGCAAGTTCGAGGCCAGCCTGGTCTACAAGAGCTAGTTCCAGGACAGGCTCCAAAGCCACAGAGAAACCCTGTCAAAAAAAAAAAAAAAAAAAAAAAAAAAAAAAAAAAAAAAAACAAAAACAAAGAGCCAAAAGAACTCAAGTTCATGAAATTATCCAAAGTTAGCTACAGCTCAGGATCTCATAGGTTCCTTCAGGCCCACTGAGGGTACTTACCGTGGCATGGTAGTTTCTGTACATGGGCATCTTTAGTATTTTTGTCAAGTAATCTTCCAGTTGCTTCTACAATAAAAAATATTTTGGAAACACTTGAACATCATCATGTCTGTACAAAATTTAACAATCACAGTGATGGGATCAGGTCTCACCGAATATCTATTGTCAGTCACTACACTCTGTCGAAGGCAGGAAGGTAGAACACTCGCCATTTTCTTGGGGCGTTATTTCAGCCACTTCTTGCTATTAATACTTAACTTTCAATATGCTTAGGTCTTTGCCTGTGTTATTCCATCATTGCTGTGACAAAAACACCTGGCAAGAAAGGGTTAACTCTGTCCTTTGAGCAGAAGGAATCTGGGCAAGGATGGGAGGTTGGCTGCTCACTCAGGCAGAGCCAGAGTGGGGGACGCAGCAGGTCCTTTCTAGTCAGTCCAGTGCCCTAGCCTAGGGCACTCAATGGTAAAAGCCCATGGGCAATCATGGCTATGCCCTAGCCCGTGGGCACTCACAGTTATGCCCTAGCCTGTGGGTGGTTCTTCCCCTCAGTAAGCCTAATCTAGAGAACCCTCCCAGCCACGGATAGAGGCTCCTCTCCTAGTGACCCTGTCAGGGTTGGCAGTGTTAACCTTAAAGCGAACAAGCCTTGAGTTGTGTGGTTTGGGTTTTGGTTTTTTAATTGGTTTTGTTTTTGGTTTTTCAAGACATGGTTTCTCTGTGTAACAGTCCTGGCTCTCCTGGAACTTGCTTTGTAGACCAGGCTAGCCTTGAACTCACAGAGATCCCCCTGCCTCGTCTCCTGGGTGCTGGGTTAAAGGACGTCACTGCTGGGCTCAAGCTGCCTGGTTTTCCGCCTCCACACTTAGCAGAATAGGACTGCCCATAATAGGTAAGTTTTTAAATTTTATTTTAAACAGGGTTTCATGTAGATTAGTTGGTGTTCTCTGTTCCCTGAAGGACAACACATTTCAGCTTCTAAGACTGAGCTGATAAAAACAACAGAATTACTAATATGCTAATACAAACTATCTCCTGCCTTGGTAGCAGCAGTCACGGAGCAGGGTGGGCAGAGCTGTGCCCTTGACCTGTATCTTCTGTGCTCCATCTCTCTGTTTTCAGACCATATCCACCAGTCTAAGGGGGAAAATGATTTCACATATATTTAAAACGAGCTATTGGAAATCAAATAAATGGGTGGAAACATCTGCTTTTTAGGAGTGGACCTCAAAACCTACTGGGATGTGCTGTCTGTCTCTCCTCAAACCCAGGGAGGTTCCACTGGGAAGATCACTGTCCCATCATCCATCAAACAGGCACTCTGTCTCCTCCTTGGCTTGGGAGACCAGGTGATGGGTAAGGTCCAGAGAAGACTAACCAGCCATCAATAGGGGTGGGGGTAGCTACACCCCTCTCTTTAGGTGCTAGACCCTTTCAGCACAGAGAAAGGATTTTCAAGACCAGAACCAGAGAGAGGGCTCAGCTGGTAAAAAGGGTTTCCCACACAAGCCTGAAGACCTGGGGTTGATCTTGGGAAGCCATGAAAAGATGGAAGAAGAAAAGTGACTCCACAGTTGTTCACACACAAGAGTTGGATCACTGTACACACACACAAATAGTAATAAGTACAACAGAGAAAGACTCACCCTCCTGCCGAAGAACTGTTCTTCCTGGATTGCGTTTTCTGATGAACGGGGCAGACTGGGCATCTCTCGGGGCTCTTCTTTGACATTCTGTCTTCTGAAAGTATGTCTAGAGGACAGACACACACAATACAAACAGCTATTTAACTATTCTTTGACTACCTCATATTATCTTTCATGTCATGACTTATTATTTTCATTTTTGTCAATGTTTAAAAAGGGTCTTGTAGCCCAGGCTGGCCTCCAATTCACTATGTAGCCAAGATTAGCCTTGAACTCCTGGTCCTCTTGTCCCCTCCTCCCAAGCCCTGGGGACCACAGGCTTGTGCCAATGCTTGCAGCTGAGGTGACTTACTTTTAAAATAGCTCTGCTATTGAAAATGTCTACCCCAAATGGATAGGCAGCCTATGAAAAGAATAAAACCTATCCCATCCATGCACAGTGGGGTAGCCATGTTAGTTCTGCCATACTTACCTTTTGGTGGGAATGGGGATTCGGATGAAGGCTTTGTACTTGAGCAGCTCTCTATGAAACTCTTGGAAGTGCTTGAATTTCCTCTTAACTTGCCATGTGAATTCCCCGTGTGTTAACTCAATAGTGTACAGATTGATACTTGGCATCTGCAGTGATAGATGTTTAAAAAAATGGTTGTTATCTTAGATGGGGAAAGTTCTGAAATTTCTCAGCAAGCAACAGCTAATTGCTAAGTGATGTTAAAGAACACATGAGACTCTCTCTTGGGAAAGGAAGAGCAGGAGGTGGGGGGAAGGAAGAGGCCAGAACACAGGCTGGACACCAGGGTGGTGTCAACTACATTCCGCATAGCAGATCAGACAGATCAGGCCTCTAAACCAGCATTAAAAGTGGTTGCCCACCTGCCCTCAATAGACTGGGAGGGTGCAGAGGAATAGGGAAGTTTGGGGCGTGGGGAAAGTCAACAGCCCCTGACCGAAGGTTATGATTCTGTGTGTACTGTGAGCAGAAACCATGATGTCTTACCCAATCTTGACTAGTACTTCACTGGAGAGACAAAGGTCCCCTACTACTATGAAATCCAAGCAGCACCAGTCAAGCAGTTGCCCAGATCCTCTCTTACTCCAGCCTGTTTCTGAGTACTCCGCATTGCTTCACAAAGATAACTGACTCTGTCTAAAGCCTTTCAGTGCTCAGAGAAACCAGAAAGGATGGAGTCTCAGAGTCTGAGCGTGGAGCTCCAGATACAGAAGGTCACATGTAGGGGACTGAGAAGAGAGCCCAGTGGACTGAAAAGTGGGGTCCAACAGACTGAAGAATGGGGTCCAGGAGGCTGAAGAGTGGGGGTCAGCAGACTGAAGAGTGGAATCCCAAAAACAGAGACAAAATTTGCAGCAGAATTCTCTCAGCAGCACTTCGAATACAGCACCTCCAATTCAATGTCCGGACATTTTTGTTTGTTTGTTTGTTTTTTCGAGACAGGGTTTCTCTGTGGTTTTGGTGCCTGTCCTGGAACTTGCTCTATAGACCAGGCTGGCCTCGAACTCACAGAGATCCGCCTGCCTCTGCCTCCCGAGTGCTGGGATTAAAGGCGTGCGCCACCACCGCCTGGCTCCGGACATTTTTTTTGTTTTCAGAGATAAGTAGCACTCATATTTTCTTGCTAAAGAAGTCTTAGGAAAAGTAAAATTTCTCTTGACTTATACTTGTCCTTCAGTTAAAATGGATATTGAGTGCAATAAAAAAAAATAAAAAGGAAGAACATGATTGCACCTAGGTATGGTGAAGGAGGTTTATTGTGGATAAAAGGGAGAGAATAGGCAAATGCGGGGCATCTGGAGAGTCCAGAGTGGACATGACCCTGAGCCAGGTCACATAAGGAGAGACGGAGTGGACAGCCAGGAGAGTAAACAGTAGACATAAAGGGTTGTCTAACCAAAACCCCTGGATTCTATAGGGAAGGGCAGCTGGGGAAAGGGTAGTCCAGCCCTGGGCTAGAGAAGTTATGGGTAGGGCTTGGGGTGTGCCAATCATACCCTGTAACAGGTAGGGATTGAAGGATGCTGGGAGAACCTGGTGGCCAGGTCTGCTTTGATATATTAAATGGGCACCTCAGTTAGTCATTTGTCCCAAAAGCCCCAGTGAAAAGGAATACTGTAGACAAAGAGACATCTTGCCAATTAGTTATTAAATTAACAATGGATGGTATTATTTTTATTTGTTTGTTTCTTTTCATGCAGTTACTTATTTCTGTGTCTGTGTGCCTGTGGGCGTGTCTATATGTCACAGAACTCAAGTGGAGGTCAAAGGACAACTTCCAGGAGGCAGGTTTCCACTCCCTCACCTGGCTTCAAGCTCTCAGGGTCGGCACCAAACGCCTTTCCCTACTAAACCACCTCGCCTGCCCTTGAATGCTAACCAAGCTAAAGAAACATTGTATCAGCATAGAGTCTCCTACCTATAATCTCAACCCTGGGGAGGTAGAAGAAGGAGAAGCAAGAGATGCCCGCCAAGCTCCATGAGAGCCCCATCTCCAGGAAGGAGCACTGTTCATAAAGGGGAAAAGGCAGAGAATGAGAAGAGAGTGTATGAGAAGAGGTGCAATCCTGAGCCGTGAAGAGGACTTACAGGTTGAAGGTGTGCTGCATTTGTTTATGCTCTGGAGCATTAAAGGATGCAAATATATTGCAGTATTTTTTTTATTGATTTTATTGAGCTCTACATTGTTCTCTGTTCCTTCCCTGCCTCTCCCCTTCCCTTCAGCCCTCTCCCATGATCCCCATGCTCCCAATTTACTCAGGAGATCTTGTCTTTTTCTATTTCCCATGTAGATTAGATCCATGTAAGTCTCTCTTAGGGTCCTCTTTGTTGTCTAGGTTCTCTGGGATTGTGATTTTTGGGCTGGTTTTCTTTGCTTTATGTCTAAAAACCATGTATGAGTGAGTACATATGATATTTATCTTTCTGGGTCTGGGTTACCTCACTCCATATGCTGTTTTCTAGCTCCATCCATTTGCCTGCAAATGTCAAGATGTCATTATTTTTTTCTGCTGTGTAGTACTCCATTGTGTAAATGTACCACATTTTCCTTATCCATTCTTCAGTTGAGGGGCATTTAGGTTGTTTCTAGGTTCTAGTTATAACAAACAATGCTGCTATGAACATAGTTAAAAGCACATGTCCTTGTCGCACAATTGAGCATCCTTTGGATATATACCCCAAAGTGCTATTATTGGGTCTTGAAGAAGGCTGTTTCCTAATTTTCTGAGAAATCACCACACTGACATCATTTGGATATATAACGAAAAGTGGTATTACCGGGTCTTGAGGAAGATGGTTTCCTAATTTTCTGAGAAATCACCACACTGACATCCAAAGGGGCTGTACCATCTTGCACTCCCACCAGCAATGCAGAAGTGTTCCCTTTACCCCACATCCTCTCCAGAATAAGTTGTCAACGGTGTTTTTTATCTTGGCCATTCTTACAGGTATAAGATGAAATCTCAAAGTTGTTTTGATTTGCATTTCTCTGATGACTAAGGACATTGAGCATTTCCTGAAGTGTCTTTCAGCCATTTTAGATTCCTCTATTGAGAGTTATCTGTTTAGGTCTATACTCCATTTTTTATTGGGTTACGTGTTCTTTTGATGACCAATTTCTTGAGTTCTTTGTATATTTTGGAGATCAGCACTCTGTCTGATGGGGGGTTGGTAAAGATCTTTTCCCATTCTGTAGGCTGTCGTTTTGTCTTGTTGACCGTGTCATTTACTTTACAGAGCTTTTCAGTTTTAGGAGGTCCCACATATTGTTTCTCTCAGTGTCTGTGCTGCTGGGGTTCTATTTAGGAAGTGGTCTCCTATGCCAATGAGTTCAAGTGTACTTCCCACTTTCTCTTCTATGAGGTTCAGTGTGGCTAGCTTTATATTGAGGTCTATTTTCAGTATTCTACATGTTGATATCCAGTTATGCCAGCATCGCCTGTTAAATATGCTTTCTTTTTTCCATATGATATTTTTTGCTTCTTTATCAAAGATCAGGTGTTTGAAGATGTGTGGATTAATAATCGGGTCATCAATTCAGTTCCATTGGTCCTCCTGTCTGTTCTTATGCCAATACCAGGCTGTTTTCAGTACTGTAGCTCTGTAGTAGAGTTTGAAGTCAGGGATTGTGATGTCTCCAGAAGTTCTTTTAATTTACAGGATTGTTTTGTCTATCCTGGGTTTTTTTCTTCTTCTTCTTCTTTTTTTCTTTTCCATATGAAGTTGAGTACCGTTCTTTTAAGGTCTGTGAAGAATTTTGCTTGGATTTTGATGGGCATTGCATTGAATCTATAGATTGTTTTTGGTAAGATAGCATTTTTACTATGTTAATTACACCAAGAGCATGGGAGCTCTTTCCATTTTCTGGTGTCTTCTTCAATTTCTTTCTTCAAAGATTTTAAGTTCTTGTCACGCAAATCTTCCACTTGTTTGGTTAGAGTTACTCTGAGATATTTTATGTTATTTGTGTTACATTCTTTTACATTGCATTTGTTTAACTCTGTGAAGTTGTGATTCTTTGCCTGTCTATAACATGTGATGGGTCCAATAAAGAGTTAAATGGCCGATAGCTAGGCAGGAGAGGTGATGTGGGAATGATTTCTTACTAATAAAGAAACTGCCTTGGCCCATTTTATTGGATAGAAAATTAGGTAGGCGGAGTAGACAGAGGAGAATGCTGGGAAAAAGAAGCTGTGTGAGGAGTCGCCATGGTTCTCCCGCTCCAGACAGACGCAGGTTAAGATCCTCCCTGGTAAGCCAGCTCGTGGGCTACACAGAATATTAGAAATGGGTTAGAACAATATGTAAGAGCTAGCCATAAGGAACTGGAACTATCCGGGCCAGGCAGTGTTTGAAAGAATACAGTTTCCGTGTAATTATTTCTGGGTATAAGCTAGCCATGCGGGCGGCCGGGTGCCGGGGACGCAGCCCTGCCGCTCCTATTTCAACAGATGGCGCCCAGACGTGATGGGCTAAATCCACTTAAAAACCTGAGAAGGCTTAAAAATAAGGGAGAGAGAGTTTAACACAGATTTTTGCTGTTTTGTTGGTGGCGTGCTGTAGAGAGATTCCTGATTCAGCTACAACAGCAGAAAAATAAGCTACATCATTTTAAAGCGCGGCTTCCTGGGGGCTGTGCTGCCAGCATGAACTCTGGCTTTAAAGCATTTCAAGGCTTTTATGGGACTGGATGTTTGTGTTCCGCTTGGGATCGGAGGAGAGTGCTCTGAGACCGTGCAGATGGCTCAGAGCTCCCCGCCTGCACCTGGGCAGAAGGCAGAATCAGGCTTAGGCAGGCGGAAGAGCATGGCGGATTCCTGCCGCTATACAGAGACGCATTTTCAGACTGCGCAGTGCTCTGCATGTCAGATTTGGCTGTAACTTGGATGAAAAGAGTTTCTGTGCTGCACACTCAGTCTCAGAGTTAAACTGCTGAGTGCGGCTCCAATGTGGACTTGCTGTGTGCCTGAAACTGTGAATGGTTCAGGGGCACCAAATGACTCTGAGGCAGGAGCGGCTGCTCCATGCTGAACTGTGCTGATCTCAGGCAGGAACTACCGTAATTACCTTAAAACCGTGCAGTTAAGGTTTAGACTGGGCAGGACACAGGCAGTACCGTATTACCTGTAAATGGTGCAACTTAAGTTTTTAAGAAATGCTTAACATTTTAAGAAATGCTCCTGTATAGTAAAGAAATTACAGATTCACAATAAAACAGATTCAGACACTGTTGGATAAATGTACGTAGGCTTGGGAAAGAGAAGAAAAAGAATATAAAGAATAAAGTTAATGTCTTAAAAAGAAAAAGGGTAAAGTCTTTAAAGAGACAGAGTACAGAAGTACAGAGAGTTATAGATTAAAAGAAATAAAGAAATATAAGCCACGTAAAAATGGAAAATTCACAGAGAGTCTGGATTATGTACATTGTGTTTTCTTTAAAATTTTTGACTGTGAAGGAGCTAAGTACAGAGAGACATTTCATTACATGGGCTGCCAATCTAAACCAAAATGGATATAAGGGTATTATGATTTCAGAATTTGGGTCTAAGGATATGATGCTTTGGAGAGGGTCTTCTTTTGTTTTTGCAGAGGATGAGACCCTGTGGATTGCATCTATTCCGATTTGGTATGATAGACCACGCCCTCCTGAAAGGTTGCTGTGAATACCCTCAAAAAATTGCTTCGCTCAATTGCCAACTGAGATGAAACTAGCATACAGGTTATATCATGAACAACCTAATTAACGACGCCCCTATTCAGCAGGAAGCAGTTTGTAGAGAAAAAACTACGCCCATGTTCCCAAATATTGTTTATAAATGTTCTTTTACATTTAAAGGGGGATATGATATAGATATGAATAATTTGCATTGGTATGGATTTTATGGTCAATTTTGTTATATGTATATGTATTTTTGATCTTGATTAAGGTATTGTGATTGTGTAGTTCATTTAAAAATGTAATGTATAATTAGGAAATATAGGTTGTTAATGGATAATCATCGCTAATACTTAAGCTTGTAGTCATGTTAGTTAGATTTTCTAGATATATAGAGAGATATTTTAGTTAGATAGGCATTCTTCATATCTTTCAAAGGCTGCAGAATATGGCATTTAAGATATTTTAATAACTTAGGGTTTTTCATGACAATGAGACACATTTGCTCCTGGCAGCACCAATCTATTTCAAGAGGAAGATGGGCATCGAAGAGAATCCTTATGGAGTTTGATAGCCATTTGGGCAAGAAACTGCTCTTGCCTGGACTGTTGCATAAACTGGACACAGAGAACCCGCAGAGAGAGGACTGCTGAACTTGCCTAAAGGTGAGATGACCTTTTGGGGTTCCTGCTTCATGAAAGAGTCTGTGAGACATTCTGCAGGACACAGCAAAAAGTGACTGAACTGTCTTTGGAATTTCTTGCTTGATGAGAATGTCTGCTGGATACTATGGGCCTGTAGGCCGAAGATGGATGCCCCAACGGTACAGAGGAACTTTGGGTGACTGTCCAGGCAGCGAGATGTCTCTGTCATTTCTAGAGTTTTCTTATTTCTTGTTTGATAGGTAATATTATATCCTTCTGGAGTCTTTGATGGAGTTGAAGAATGGTTAGTTATAGTTTTCCTTAGTTATGATAAGAGATAAAATAGATATAAATATTGTAACTGTAATTCTTACTTGATAACTGTTTTGTTATATGTAATTTTACTATGTTAAAGTTAAAGCCTTTCTTTTTTGTTTAAACAGAAAAAGGGGAAATGATGTGGGAGTGATTTCTTATTAATAAAGAAACTGCCTTGGCCCATTTTATTGGATAGAAAATTAGGTAGGCGGAGTAGACAGAGGAGAATGCTGGGAAAAAGAAGCTGTGTGAGGAGTCGCCATGGTTCTCCCGCTCCAGACAGACGCAGGTTAAGATCCTCCCTGGTAAGCCAGCTCGTGGGCTACACAGAATATTAGAAATGGGTTAGAACAATATGTAAGAGCTAGCCATAAGGAACTGGAACTATCCGGGCCAGGCAGTGTTTGAAAGAATACAGTTTCCGTGTAATTATTTCTGGGTATAAGCTAGCCATGCGGGCGGCCGGGTGCCGGGGACGCAGCCCTGTCGCTCCTATTTCAACAGAGAGGGAAGTAGCCAGTGCTGCCAGGTAGAGAGAATAAATAGAAAGAGAAGAGGAACGAGAAAAGAAGGAGAGGAGGACAGTAAGGGGTCAGACAATCAGCTACACAGTAAGCCACAGAGTAAGAAGTAAAGAAAGATATATAGAAGAGAGAAAGATAAAAGCCCAGAAGTAAAAGTCAGATGACATAGTTTAAGTTAAGAGAAGCTAGAAACAAGCCTGGCTATGGCCCGGGGCTCATAAGTAAGAAGGAGTCTAGGAGTGGTTGTTTGGGAGCTGGGTGTTGGCCCCAAAGAGCAGAGTTAAAAAAGTCAAGGACACAGAAGTTGCAACTAAAGCTCAACCAGTAGCATCACAGTGGGGGGGGGGGGGCATTCAGAGTCAGGCTGTTTAGGGATGTGTGCTTGACAAAAACCCCTGGACTGGGTGAACCCAAAGTGCCCTGACCCTGCTGCTCGATGTGAAGCGCTCCACTTCCAGGACTTGGGCTTTTACGGGACAGCCGGAGAGGTAGGTCTGGATGTTGGGCTCCTTAAATCCTTGCGTGTTGTAAATCGAAGAGAATGGGATGTACTCTGCAAAGGACAGAGGGAACAGGTTATTCCAGTCACAGGCAGAAACACCCTGCACCTTTGTAAAACCTAAGGTGGGGCTGATCAAGTGTCCCAGAGCTGCTGCAGGACATGAAGCCTGATCATTTGGCTGTGGGATTTGGTCACCAGAGTGACCAATGTCTTACAGAGACAAAGCCATGAGCAGACAGAATAAAAAAGAAAAAAATAGAATCATAGTTAAAATAAGTAAGTTTCTGGAAGCCCTCCCTCCAAGGAAGGTGGCTGCTCTGTTATTTACCACTGTGCCCTGCAACCAACCCTGAGGATGTCTTGTATGTCCTTACCTTCCTGAGTCTTGGGGTCTCCAGGAGAGGCATCAAAATCCACCTCCTCTCCCTCAAAGTGGAGTTCCCGCGTGTCAAGGTTTTCTATCAGGTTGCTCATGTCTGCGGCAATTTTCTGCAGCGCTGAAGTGTTTACCCTGGGCTCGTTTTTCAGTGACATGCTGATTTCTGACAGGCAGGCAGAGGGGCTGAGGAGGAAGGACAGGCATCACTCAGACACATTTGCTTTTTCAGAACTGAAGATATGCCTCTTTCGCCTGGCATGGTGGCCTACACCTGTAATCCCAGCGCTCTAGAGACGTAGGCAAAAACATCTGTGGAAGTTCAAGGCTAGTCCGAGCTACAGAGTGAGATCCAGGCCAGCAAAGATTGCATAGGAAGACCCAAAATGAGAGAGAGAGAGAGAGAGAGAGAGAGAGAGAGAGAGAGAGAGGAAGGGGAGAACAGTGTATGTAAAATGTATAATACTTGTAAAATAAGCAGCATTTTCTTAAAGAAAATTGAGGAAATTTTCCACATCCAAATATTCAGATTTGGAAGTCATATTTATAGCCTGATGAGAGGGCTGAGTGGGTAAAGGAACTTGCTGGAAAGACAAATGTTGATACCCAGGAGTCTTCGGACACACGTGTACCATACACACAATAATTAAAATAAAATTTTATGACAGTGTAACCTTCCTGCATTTTCTCAAGAGCTGACTTCCCAAGTGATGTGCACAACCACTCGAAGCCGCGAGGCTACAGCCATGGTCTGGAAAGAAAATAGACTAATACACCTGTTCCTAAAGCTCCCAGAGGGTTGAGAGTCTCTTTCTCTCCCCTTTCATGAAAGCTGGCTCTATTTCATCCTGACATTTCATAACATGAGTTATTGCACATCAGTACCCAGGGGAAAGACTTCATATAGATTTTATTTTCCATTTAAAATACGGAGGAGTAAGCTCTGAGCTCTGCTGTCAGAATTGGATTAAAAAGTCCATATCGCCCAATATAGAAACCACCTCTGATAGAACCGGGCCTAAGCTGAGAGGAGACTCTTCTACACATGCTTGCTGTCTCACAAGCATGAACTTAGCATTCACCATGGATGAGAAGCAACGAATGTAACTTTAAAAACGGGGTCTGTACGACAGTTCAGTCAACAAAATCACTTGCCATGTACAAAGCTGAGTTCAGCGCTGGACCCCACAGTGGAGAGAACCAGCTCCTGGCAGTCATGCGCCGGCATGTGTGCAGCAGCACACATACACACACTCACATGCACTCATGCACAAGCATGCACACACTCACATGTACACACACGCACGCACTGACAGATCAAATACAAAGTTCAGAAATGTGGAGATGAGTTAAGGAACATTGTAGCTGGACTTAGGTTTGTTTCTTACTAGCTCTTATAGCTTAAAGGAACCCATATGTTTATTAAATTATGTTCTACTATGTAACTTTTACCTCTATCCCATTTTGTGTTCCTCATCTGGCTAGCTTCTCTGCCCTTCTTCCCCGCATTCTCTCTGCCTGGAAAGTTCTGCCTAGCTAATAATAATAGCTTTCTATTAAACCAATCACAGTGACATATATACACACAGTATAAAGGAATATTCTACAGCAGACACCTGCTATGTGGGTTGGGGAAACATCTACATAATCCCACTTTCATCCCAGGCCTCCTCCAAGGCCTTGAACTTCCTGAGAGTAGACTTGTCCTGAGGGGAGGACACCAGGCTGGCTTCTGGTTCTGTGGAGAGGTTGGGTGTGCCATGTGGGGCCAACTTGAACAGCTCTTAAGATAACAAGTCTCCAAAATCATGCCGAAGTCGCCACCACTGCATCTGGTAGAGACTTCATTTGGAAATGCAAAGATGGGTAGAGGAGGGAAATTCTGGGTTGCCTTGTGCATGTGATTATACTTTGGGGTTCCCTGTGAACTGAGGAACCACCCACTCTTACACTGCGTTGACTGTAAGAAGGTTAAATTTAAGTTTATACCTTACTGTAGTCAAATCATTGGGCTATCATTACCTCTATCCCTTCCTTGCAATTCTCTCATCTCCAAAGTATCTTTCTAATTTTTGGAGCTGCGTGACCTGCCTAGAAGGTGCTGATACTCACACATATCCTGGGGCAAGTCTTTGTACAGGGCCGAACAGGAAATGAAATTTTCCTACATTCTAGTGTTCACACGACAAAGCCACTTCAGTCCTGGGGTCTTGGCTTACGAATTTCACTCTAGGGTCCCTTTAACTATATATAGAAGGTGCCATAGTTGTTTAGCCTCCACGATAATTTAACCATCTTCCTATCTCCAGCAATTACTCCAAGTAGTTTTGCATTTAAATGAGAGAGTAGGTGGCGGAGTGCCTTCTAGCCAAAACTGTCTGTTTGTTCAGCTCCTACCGGGGAGGTGTTGCCTTGGGTCACAATGAAAATATTTGCTTCCTTTTCCCCTAATTCAACAAAGAGTCACTTATTAGAGGCAGACCGTGAAGCTTTGCATTATTTAAAAGACAAGGTAATGGGAAGAGGAACTGAGATAAGGAAAACCAAGTCAGAAATTATATCCTATTATTGCCATTGGTTAACTTTTAAAGATTTTAGAGATTTTTATTGATTAAATAGATTTATGGTTAACTTTCTCCACTTCCTCGCACAGCAAAGGGAGGTTATTCCTAATGACCTTCCTTTGGGGCCAAGTTCTAGACTTTAAAAATGTGATTAATACACAGAGACTACTCTAGATGTTGGGGTGAGTAAAGGAAAGGCATGGGCTCGTCCTAAAATAAATATCTTCTTTCAGGCCAAGAGAAAAGAAGCATGTGAGCACATGAAAACTAAAGGAAAAATGAGAAAAGAAGCAGAAAGAGTAAAAGAAAAAAACCACAATATTTAGTATAAAGTATTCATTGTATGATAAGCACAATTTTGTTATTTAATACTTGAGAGTTATGATTGCTCTATGAAATTTAGATATTTGTCCAAGGATACTCAATTTGTGTCAGCATCACCTCTTATATTTTTAAGATGTCTTTTTTAATGTGTGTGTGAGTGTGTGTGTGTGTGTATGTGTGAGTGTGTGTGTGAGTGTGTTTGTGTGTGTGGTTATGTGCATGGGAGTGCTTGCAGAGTCAAGAAGAAGGCATCAATGACCCTGGAGCTTGAATAACAGGTGTTTTAAGGTTCCTCACATGGCTGCTAAAAACTGAATTCAGGTCTTCTGCAAGAGTAAACATGCTCTGTCTTAGTCAGACACCATGACCAAGCAACTCTCATAAAAGAAAACAATTAATTGAGACTTGATTACAGTTTCAGAGATTCAGTCCATTACCGTCATGGCACACAGGCAGACGTAGTGCTGGAGGAGTAGCTGAGAGTTCTACAGTTCCATCAGGAGAAGAGAGACACTGGGCCTAGCATGGGCTTTTGAACCCTCAAAGCCCACCCTCAGTGACACAGTTCTTTTAACAAGAACACACCTCCCAATCCTTCTCAATTAGTGCCACTCCCTTATTCAAATATATTAGCCTACGGGGGGGGGGGGGGGGCATTTCTATTCAAACTACCACTTCCTCCTAACTAACCACTCTCTAAGATCTCTTCAAAGGAGGAGTGACTTTTTAAAGTGGAATTGACTGGTTCTAATATGCTATAACCTTGGTTCACATTGGTTTTATTTCATGGCTTGAATGACTAGAAATTTAATCTTTTCTATGACGCCTGTGTTCTATGACAATAAGAGATGTCCTCTAGTTTCAACACCACACCTTGGGGTGGATCATCCAAACCCACAATCACTATAGAGATGGAAACGTGTCAGGACAGCTTCCAGAATTTCCATGAATCATAACAAAGGATCATAAGAAATTTTAGGGGACCCAAAGGGTTTGCATATTTACACATCAGATTGTAAAGATCTTAGCACTAACGGTGGGAAGCAGAAGCATGATTTGAGCATTGCTGCTTTCCTGGACTCCACACAGCTGCATGAGTTTGTATCCCACAATTCTATTGCTGGTGTTCACAATCAGATGGTGAGGTCATGCTTGCTCCTCTATCCTGGGGGAGAGCAGCTGCCATAGTTACAGCCTGAGTTACCCAGCAGTGCGATAAGCCCTTTAGTGTTTCCATCTGAGATAAGAATGCCATTCCCTTATCTCTTTATAAGTCTATGCAGTGGGTCTTTGCCTCACCCTGCACAAAGAGGAGGTGTTATAAGCAGAGAGGTAAGAGCAGCTGGGCTACAATTCTGTTTGCATGCAATCGTTATCCGGGAGGTAAATAAGGTGGCTTCTCTTTCTTTTCTCCGGTTTTGAATACTAGAATCAAAACTCTTTGCAGCAACCATTTAATAATATCATTCAATGAAGGGGGCAGAGAAACAGGGTTTTCTCTTAAAAATTAAAAAAAAATGTATTGTTATTGATTTGCATAGGATTTATCTGTATGTAGTAGCCCTTGCTGTCCTGGAACTCACTCTGTAGAGGAGGCTGGCCTCAAACTCACAGGGATCCACCTGCCTTTGCCTCCCAAGTGCTGGGGTTAAAAGTGTGTGCCTCTACCACTGGCTGGGAAAGAGAACAGGTCTTTTCCTTCTCACATAATAAACACACAAACATTCTCTTAGCTAAAGTGACAATAATATCGCCTGCCGTACTTATGGATGGTAAGGTAGACATTAACATGAGTTAACATTTGCAGAACATGTCACATGCCGGGAATTGTACACTTCCATAGCCATTTTGGGAGCTGGGTTCTGCTGGCAGCCATACTCTGAAGAGCAGCTTAGGAAAGAGAGGACATGGTCCCATGTCCAGGGTGAGAGGGAGCCAACCCTCTAACTCCAAAGTTCAGTTAACAAATCTGTCATCTGCCACTAGAGGTTGGGGAGGGAAGGTCGCTCACTCTCACTTGGAATATGATTAAGGCATAGCAAATACATTATATGAAAAAAATTTAATAGAAAAAAGGTAAATCTAATTTTAAAAAGGAACAATAACAGAAACTCTAGCATTTCTTCCTTTAAAATGAATGCTGTGTCTTGGTTCCTGCATTTTTTCTGGGTAATCTACAGGGTCATTCCATGTTTTTCCCATGTAATCTACAGAGTCCTTCCATGTTTTCCCGTGTTATTGTGCTTAGCAAGAGGATGGTTTTCAAAGCCCAAAACCAAATCATAACTATGAATGTGA